GGGGGGGGGGGGGGAGAGAATAGAAAATTTCAAATGGCCACCCCCCTCATGGCCAGTGGTGCGTGACTTATGAATAACCCCGTGCTCTGCATATTCGTGTGACGAGAAAAATTAAGGAATTGGACGGATGACTTCCACATTCAAGATACAATAACATTTTACGTTGAAAAAATACTTAATCAGCCCGAAACACTGACAAAGAAAAAACTTAAAACGGGACTAAGGCAGCAGATAATAAAAAGAAACACATAAAATAAAATAAAAAACCGGGGACGTTTCGCAGGGATCATGTTGGCGAAAAGCGTCAGCTGTTTTGTAAAGTTTTGATTCCTCCAGTTTTTCATTTCTCAGTTTCAGTTCGGTATGATACCTTGCCCATAAAGGTGATCTAAAAGCGTCCTCCGAGTGTTATTTCTTTCCATACCACCTTTAGCTTTTACCTTTAGCCTTTAGATCACACCCGCATTTTCAACCGGCAAAACAAAAAAACAAGCAGGAAGCTCCAACGCATTCGCGTCGGAGAGCGGCTCTGGCGACAGTAGTTGTAGTCAAGAATGAGAGCCTAGACACATTTTGTCACTGATGTACAATCCGACAACTGTCGATTCATCTTTTGTAACTTAGCAGATTTACGTAGCCGGTGTATAAATGTGTATTGGCCCTTGATATGCAGAATGCATGGCACTATCACTTGTTGTATACTTTTCATTTTGAAGGCTCTTTGGAGGTCCGCATCCTAAAAAATTTCTCCCACAGTATTTTTTTTAACTTGTCGTTGTGATTGGGCGCCAATTTCTTTCAATTGAGTGATCATCTTCTTTTTTTGTCAAATAACTAGTTTGTGCAACAATAAGACTGAAACTGACTGTAACTGAAATTTTGTCTTTTTAGATATTTGGTTATTTTGTATTTATTAGATTGTATATTTTCACAGCCCTGTGATAAGAAACTTTGGAATGCATGGTTGATAAGTCGTTTAGCGAGGCTGCAAAAAATTTGCATTTTTATATCTGAAATTGTAGGTAATGGTTTTGAATATCGAATTGCGATATATTACACGGTTAAGATAAGGCTATATGTCTTGTCGTAAGCGGCGACATAGAGTCGATGTCATTTCAATAATCGCCCCGATGGCCACGGTAGTTGTGTGCCGTCTGCCCACGTAGCAAATGGGAGGCGAAAATGGAAGTCATCAGTGCATCGGTGAGTGTTGAACGTGAAAATTGCGCGGGCCGCGCAAATTTCGCGATCATCGATGTGTCGGGGCTGAGCATCCATCATTTTCTATCTTGTTTTGAAGCTATGTGAGTTGTGATAAAGTACATAATTTTTTTGTATTATATTACTGTATAAATAGTGTAAAATTTGTACAGAACTTTGTACAAAATAGTTTCTTGTAAAAAGTGTGGACTACTGCCACGTCGTTTCCACACAAACTCCCAATACGCCGCAAGTACCACAAATGCCCATGTTAACCAAATCACCTCATCATCCATTTTTTAAGGACACAATTTTTAATTCAAATCAACTTACTTTATCAAAACTCCAATCGTTTATCAAATAACATATATCGAGTCATTTTAACAAAATCAAAGACGGCATAATATCATTAATCACACAGCCAAAAACCTAACCTAGAAACCACGAATTTTACAAACTCAAATTGGAGAACACTCATTGGTCCAATAATAAAAATTGATTTGCCGCCTTTTTTCTTTGCAAGCAAAACGTGTGAACATGTCTGAAAATGGGATCGGGCGTCAACACTCAACGATGCACTGATGACTTCCATTTTCGCCTCCCATTTGCTACGTGGGCAGACGGCATTAGACGTTTACGGTTTCCTTGGTAACCTTTGTTTGCTATCAGCTGATATCGAGTAATATGACTAGGAAGCTCCAACCCAGTGGTTGGAGCTTCCTTAACCGCGAAAACTTTAAAATTCAAATTTTCAAATTTTGAACGTAAAGGACATTTTTTCCATCACGAGATTAAAGCACAGAAAAGTTTTGAATTATTGACTGTATCACCATGATTCCAAAAATACACTACACAACATAGCATTGGCTAACAATAAAACAATATGCAATAAAATAAAGTCATAACAAGGAACATGGCCGAAAATGGCGCAGATTCCCATTAACCAACGCGCGGTCTCTCCAATGTAACATGGTCCAATGATACTCCCCAGCTGGGACCGTCCGGAATAGCAGCTCTAGTGCAAGCACCAGAGCCGCTAATTAAAAGAAGGACACTATGAGCCTCGCCGTTGATATAGTGAAACTGATAGTGCAACATGAAACAAAGCACATCGAAGCAGAGATTACTCAGGTGTACCAGCTCCATCGAGGCCCGAAAGGAAGAACTGGTGATAAATGCTACTGAGTTTATCCACATCAGCGTGGTAATTACATACAGTATTTCTATACTTGAGGATGTGAACCATCTCAAGTAGGACCCTCGGAAAATAATGCTTCTCAGAAGCTAAAAGTTTAGCCTCATTGAAGTCAAACAGATTAATTTTAGAGTCCTGGTGGTGGTGCAAGGCAGTTTTCTCCGCTTTATTGTATCGATGTGAAAGTAATTTTTTTTTTTTTCAAAGTTTGTTTCGTCTGCCCGATGTACCCTGATTCACAATCTCTGCATGGAATATAATATCGTACACTACACACATAGTGTCCTTCTTTCAATTTTTTTTTGTTTTGCCGGTTGAAACGTGTTTCCCTAAGATTTTTGCGGACGTGCCTATTAAAAGTCTGCTTTTGAAACCTTTTTTTCTTTAACTATACGAGTATCATCTACCTAAAACCAAACAAAGCCTCCTTGACAACATATCAAAAGTTAGACGATGTGCTCGGTGTCAAGAAGCCTTGGAGTAATAGAAAAACAGGCATTTTCGATCAAATGAGGGTGCAGACGTACGTACAGAGAACCGTTTAGCACGTATCCAGTGACGTACCTAAAGACGGAATCATGATTATTTGCATAAACTACATTGAGTCTACCTGGAAAACCCGCATAAATTTCCAGATTCTAGGGGAGGGGGGGGGAAGTCCCTTATGAATACCCCTCCTTTCACTATTTTTAAAAAAAAATAAAAATCTTTTAACGTCTTGAAAGATTTGAAAATTGGTTCCTACGGATGGTCGAAAAACTGACTAGCCATTTTCTTCAGTACCAAAGGGGTCGGATTTTCAATGTTCGGCTGGTCCTGAAAGTTAACCATAAGAGGCAGGAATAGGTAGGCAAACTATTTTGTTATTTTAGAGTATCTCAATTACGAGTGTATTGATGGTATAATTAATTGAAATTGTTGCGTTGTGATGTCTCATAGAATATTAACGTTATGTTTTCAGAAGGAGAAGCTCCTGCCCAGAATCGGAATGAGAATGACGGCCCCTTAATGCGGGATATGAGTAAGTTTCCTTATACTTTTTAGGGGTACAGTGGGTCAGTGGGCTGGTGACAGGAATCAAAATATTGTACATTATTAGAATCATTCTTACGGAAGTGGAAATAGGATTTAGTGATAAAGAATGTTATTATTAGGGTATGTGTAGGGTAAATTTTTAACTACCCACGTGTAAATATATGTTGAAATAAGTAAAAAAAAAATTAAAAACAATGTAAAATCATATAAAATAAAATTAAAAATTTGAAAGACGGCAACTTCTGGTAGAAAATTTTAAAAAGAAAGTTTACTGACAGTTTGTTTCTTGAGAATTTTTCAGAGTGAAGATATGTGTTGAATTTCACGATATTGGGGTCGGCGTTAAGCAGAAAGGAAGCAAGCCTCATCAGTCATTGACAAATCTTAGTGATCACTTCAGTCAATTGAAAATATTAGGGAATTTGTTTCGCACTGTGGAGAAAAATGAGTGAATTTTGCACTAAAATCCGGATAGTCGTTCTCGTGTAAAGAATTATTAAATTGCCCAAAAGAAGCTGGCAATAGATGATGTGGCTTGGTACGTTTCTGCTTAACGGGGTCCATTTGTGAGTAACTAATTTGGCTCGGTGGTAAAACAAAATTCACATGTTTTTTGTTTTTTTTTTTCATTTTATTTCTTATTCTTTTAGGATGTATCGTATGCCTGGACAGGGAAAGGGAGATTATGTTCCTCCCTTGCCGGCACTTCGCGGTTTGTGAACCGTGCAACGAAGTGCTGATCAGGCAGGTCCCACCGATGCAGGACCAGCGATGCCCGACGTGCAGAGAGCCGGTGATCGACGCCGTAAGGGTATTCGTGGCTTGAGTTACAAGTCCTCACTAGTCTTCAGAGACGGAAATGTCAATAATCTTCAATCAATCTTGTTCTTATATTGTTATATTACATTGTATGAATAAAATATTATTTATTCTTGGTGATATGATGACTTTTTTCAATGTATATGTTTATATGTCTCTCCTCCCCGCCTGGGTAAGGCGCCAACTAGAGCACCTGATCGCCCGCTCCCGTAGCAGGGCAAGGGAACACGAGGACAGCAGCTCCAGAATGTAGCTTTTCTATCATTATCTTCATGTATCGCTATTGTAATATGAAATGTATCTTCATGTATATGTTCTCTCCTAAACTCTGTATCAATACATGACTGTTTTTGTACCTTCTAAATAACCTTTGTTGCCTCCATTATTTTCATTCTATAATCCCTCTACGAGGCATTATGGGGGGCGGAATGTCCACGCCGTCACCGCCGTGAAAACTAGCAGCTCATATCCCGAATTGTCGCTCCTCGGTCTGCGTTCCGCGACCGGTGCCTTCCCCGCTTCCCCGCGCCCGCAGCCTCTCCCGCGTCATATAAGTTTCCTTATAATGGACTCCAAAGTTTCTCGAAAGAAACGGAATGATGGTCGATCTGATGGTAAAAAGCTCCAACAACGCTTCATAAGTTCATACCTGCAAGAAAGGAAAATGAACTTATCCACCAAAATTATAACTTAGTTGAGCTGACTCACAAAAGTATTCGAATACTTTTCAAAAAAGTTGCATTTTGTTGCGTAAGTTTGTTTCATTGCCCTTCGGTGAAATTTTGTTTTTGCAGTTAGACTTCTAGCAAGGAGGAGTGTTTGCAAATCTAATTCACCTGAGCTAAAAAAATAGTAAATTGGAATTCTTACAATCCCTCTTTTCATGCCTTCTAAGATGCTGTGTCAAACGAAGGTTTTATCCTCGAAGATTTACAATTCTTGAATGCCTGGTTTAAAAATAGGTCTGTTTGAACAGAGTTGAGTATTATGAATAAGAATTGAACTTACAATTGTTCTGTGGCATTGCATGGTTTACTCAGCCGGCCGCCATTCCTAACAAAATTACGGACTTCTAAGTTTGATCTGGCTGGATATGGTCGCTGGCCTAAGGTAAGGACTTCCCAGACAAGTACGCCCAAAGACCGAACTTCTGACTGGCTTCTGGTCAACTTCTAGCAACCGCATCAAATTAAAAACTATATATGAGTCAAACTCAAAACCACTAAAATCTCTATATTCGTAGCTTCAAAATCACTGATGGCCTAATACTTTACATGTTAATATAGGATTTTTTATTTCATCCATTAAATACAAAATTCGAATAGCTAAAAAAACTAGCTAATTCGAAAAGCTAGAAAAACTAAAATTACCAAAGGTAAAATTGTTCAAAAGGATTCCATAGTTTGATTATCCAAATCATAACATTTAATTAAAGACTCAAATGTTAAGTAAACCATTATGCACCATCTACAAGTGATTCTGGCGCCATCCACCTATGAAAGGACAATTACATGCAATATCTGTATGATCTAAGTGCAAGAACAGAATGAAAATTAATAATAAAAATGAAAAGAATAGAAAAAAAAATTTCCTCTCCTAAACAGTGCTACTGTTGGCTGTGTGAGCACATTCAAATGCTTATTAATTCCTCTTGTTTGCAACATCCATGCCAATTAAATGTAAGGATTTTTATTTTCCTAAGTCAGATATTAAACCGGTACTTACTGTGAAGCTTTCAGGCTTGTATTTAATTTAAAGTTACCTCAGTAAATTGAGGCTTAATGCCTTTAAATACTTGATGAAGCACTGGGCTTCGTGTATTCATTTAAGTAATGTTCAAGGGTTCTCCTTTGCAAACTGCAAGTTTCAGCAACGTTATTTAATTTGTTAATTCTTTTTTTGTTTCTGATTTTTATTTTCCTATGACAGATATTAAGGCTTGTAATTTGAAGTTACCTGAGTATATTTAAGCTATTACTTCATGTCTGTACATACTTGAGGAAGCACTTACTTAGCTTAGTGTATTCGTTTCATATTTATATGTTCATATTTGCGAACTGCAAGTTTCAGCAGCATTAAGTATTTAATTTTTCTTGTTTCTGATTTTTTATTTTCCTAAGACCGAACTTTGATAAAATGTTTTACCTTTCCATTAAAAGGGGTTGTTGCATTTTCTTCTTAGGCCTTTGACCGTAATTCCAGTAAGAATTTTGAAATACCTCAGTATAATAATTATCAGGGAAAGATAATAATTTAAGATCAATCAAAAAAATTAGTTTCACTGCTAAGGGGGAAGGGGGCTGTAGGGGATAGAAGGCACCATGAAAGACACCTAGTCCAGTCAATCTGGCCCAAAAAAGGGGTCTACTTTACGAAAATCTGAGGAGAAAAAAGTAAGTCGGACTCTTATGTAATTTCGGTCGCTGAATCCGAATCTGATGTTTGCCAACAATAATTTTGCCCGGAAATGGCCGCCATCTTGAAAAAATGGCGGAAAATCACGTTTTCCCCCAAAATCTCACTTATTTTGGGGTTTTCGACAAAACGAGTTCTCTTCATTTTAAAAGTACGTAAAATTTACTATCAAACGACTTTTAGATTTTTGAAATCGAACAATTAGAGTAAAAGTTATGGGCGATCGCGTTAGGGGTGGTTTTACGGGTTGATGAGTTTTTCGTAAAATTTGCTGCGTAAAAACGCTGTAACGCCGTTGGAAGTGAAACAAAAATTCCGAAATTTTTTTGCGTAGGTCCCTCTAGGCACCAGTGATCCTCCGCCATGAAAAAAAATCCCCCACCCCCGCCCCTTTCCCCGCAGCCCTTATTCAATGTACACTTTTTTCAATTAAATCACACTAATTTCAGATGTCAAAAATGTATGAAAAACCGTCGTAGACCGCTTGGTTTTCCAACTCCTATCACCCCCCTTAACTCTGTTATGACCCCCCTCACCTACCCCTCCCCCACAACCCCCGCCCCTCCACCCCAAACCCTTATTAGCCATGTAAGAGCCACTGAACCGATTCTAAAAGCAATAATTTTTTTTTCTTCTTCTTTTTTCTTTTTTTATATAGGCGGGGAAACTCTTTTAAAGACTTTATCTTAGGCAGCTAGGAACCCAAGATAGGTGTGTGGGATTTCCACCCACTAAAAATCCCTCCGCTTTGGGTGAGCGAATTGAAAAAAAAGCACTGAATGAATGTTGTCTTGAGTAGCTGTTTCTCCGTAACGTTTTCCACAAATCCGCTCCAACCCGGTAGGTAAAAATTCGGTATTTTACTGACTGCTGAAATTACAGAGGGAGAAATCGCATTGACTTTTTTTTGGAACATCGGTTTGCTCTTATCTTTTTTGCTATTTAGAATAATAGTATGAAGTAGGAGCTTCAGAGAATCTGGAATGCCTGATTTCTGCGTTCTTAAAAAAATCATTAGATGCAGGATAGTTGTCTGTGCCGTAAACTTTCGTTCTGATATCTTCGAGAATTATTTTTGCAGCAGTTTCCACGATACGTAGCCTTTCAGCGTTTTCATTACTTAAAACCTGATTTCTCCAAGCTTCGTTGAGAATCTTATCACCAAAACCGTGAAAAGATATCACGGATTGGTTTGGTTTGGTTATTTTTTTGAGAACGCAGAATCAAACATTCCAGAGTCTCTGAAGCTCCTAGTTGATACTATTATTCTAAATAACAAAAAAGTTAAGAGTAAACCGAAGTTCCAAAAAAAAGTCAACGCGATTTCTCATTCTGCAATTTCAGCAGTCAGACCTCGGTCATATAATTCGCCCATTCAAATCGGAGTTTCAGCGCATGTCTGCAAAAAATTCGGATTGAAAAAATTGATTGCTGTATTGAAGTCTCTCGCCTACGCTGCACCGTTTTTTTTTTTTTTTTTTTTTTTTTTTTTTTTTTTTTTTTTTTTTTATATATTCAACAAATTATGTTACAACCACCTGTTTACAAGTGTAAATTAACTTCGTTTTACAAATATAATAACAAACAAATTAATCATTTTTAATTTTCATTTTTAACTTTTGCATGTATAACCTATTCTCACACAGCACCCAGACTACATTCATACACCTTAAAACTAGAGAAGGGGATTAGAAAAAAGAATTACAATAAACAATGAAAAATAAATGAGAGAGAGAATAAATAAATAAATTACTTTTGCTTTCATGCGGAATCCATGTCCACAAAATAATTCTGGCAATTAGGTTGTTAAGAACCTATTGATGGACTCTTAAAAATCAATTTCGACGCTTTCTTTCAGTTCATATTCGATAATGCGGATTTTAATAGTCAGACGCTTGATGGAATGAACACCTTCCATGTTATGGGCGGCGTAATGTGTATCACACCACAATCATCAGTTCACCCTGATCAAGTAACCTCGTAATTTATCTCAAAATCCGCCGGTAAGGCGGTAATCTGGGCCTCCGGAGTAACACCCGCAGAAATTTTTGAAAAGAAACGCCACGATGGAATGAAAGACATCAGAATTCTTGATTTGTAGATTGTTAATAAATTGCCTGATCGTTGTGAAATCTTAACGCTGGATTTGTTGTGGATTTATGGACCTTTGATTAAAATACCGAATTTACCGAGTTGGAGCGGATTTATGGAAAATGTTACAGAGAAAAAGCTATCCTTGGTAAAAATTATCAATAGGAGCTGCGTTATTCAAAATACCATAGGAATTCTTATAATCGGATATAGAAGGCGAAAGAAAATTATTTAACTGGCTGTAGAGAGAGAAGAAAATCACACCGCCGGGCTACCTACACGAAGCGATAAACAATTATACAGCCGGGCTATGGTTCCTATCACCGGGCTATACAGTATATCACCTGGCTGTAGGTTTTTTGCCACGAGCTATAAAAGGCTATAAGAAATTGCATAGTCGGCTACAGAAGCTGTGGAAAACTTACAGCCGTCTGTAGGAATTTTGGAAGACTGATCCTACTGCCAATTTTTACCAGGGATTCAAGACAACATTCATTCAATGCTTTTTTTTTCAATTCGCTCACCTAAAGCGGAGGGATTTTTAGTGGAAGGAAATCCCACACACTCATCTTGGGTTCCTAGCTGCCTAAGATGTAGTCTTTAAAAGAGTTTCCCCGCCTATAAAAAAAAAAAAAAAAAAAAAAAAAAAAAAAAAAAAAAAATTTTCTTACTTTTAGAATCGGTTCAGTGGCTCTTACATGGCTAATAAGGGTTTGGGGTGGAGGGGCGGGGGTTGAGGGGAAGGGGTAGGTGAGGGGGTCATAACAGAGTTAAGGGGGGTGATAGGAGTTGGAAAACCAAGTGGTCTACGACGGTTTTTCATATTACTATTTTACTATTATTATTATTTTTTTTTTTTTTTTTTTTTTTTTTTTTTTTTTTTTTTTTTTTTTTTTTTTTTTTTTTTTTTTTTTTTTTTTTTTTTTTTTTTTTTTTTTTTTTTTTTTTTTTTTTTTTTTTTTTTTTTTTTTTTTTTTTTTTTTTTTTTTTTT